GATAGCTGCGGTCTCAAAGCCACACGCACTTGGGCTCTCTCTGTCTTCTCCTCTCCTACTTATTTTCTCTCTACATCTCCTCCTTTCACGTCTCGGCTTTTATCTCATAGGTCTTAATTTTTCTACACACCAGCACAGGCCATTGCGAATCCTCCTTCCTTCAATAACAACTTTTCACCCTCAGGGTTTGCCTGGGTACCACATCGCTACTTTTCGATCTACACCACAGCTTCTCTCCTCGCCACCCTCATGACCCTTCTGCTCCAAGCCTGGAGCTTTCTTGGGTGCAGGCAATGATCAGTCATCCGTGCACTTATATACGAGCACACAATCCTTACATGCTCACTGTTATTCTCAGCAAACTCTTACACGTAACACTAGAGCAGTACACCACAGCAGCCCATACACTCAAATATACTGTAAATGCTCACACACAAAGACACACCACAGATACCAAAGGATCTTTTTACACTGGCTTAATAACTTTTGGATAGAAGCAGGTGAGAACAGGGTGATGATGGAGGAGAAGGAAAACATAATTAGCTGCATCCAAGCAAATTGTTTTGTCATCTCTTAAAAGAAACAACTTAGTTTCAAGATAATGATATCTTATTCCTTAAAATAGGGAAATATCTTTGAAACTTGAAGGCCGAAGAGATAAGCAGGACACAAATAGTGAATGTAGAGATATGAAAGAATTACATATAACTTTTATATTCTTTTTGCATACCTTTACTCTCTTAACAGTAGTTTTTGAAAGGGGATGGGGCAAATAACAGTGCTACAAAATCAAAGAAATGACTCTAGCAGAGCTGAAAAATCAATGAAGGAGGGATGCATGCAGCTCTCAGAGAGTAGATAAATCTAGGTGATTCACAGTTTTGTAATTTCGTAGGACATATTCATGCAGTTTTCAAGGAAATATTATCAGGACTGTCCCTGGTTTTCAGGTTTCTTCGGGGTATTTGGAGAAGGTGGGTTTTTTATACTCAAAACAGAATCTCACTTCTGTGGCTCTTTGTTCAGAAATGACAATGTTATATGATAAAGGGATGTGAACAATAAATGCACAGAGAAAAGGAAGATACGGTAGATGTATGAAAGTAGTAAACTTGGTTGAGCATATTTATAAAATTTGAATCTACCTCTAGCTGACATCTGTGCGGTACTGTCAAAGAGTGTGTTTTTGTGGTGATTCATGAGGCAAAGCAGAGAAGCACAGCTGATGTTCATTGTGCCTTTTGCTTTCAACAAACAGGTAGAAACTCGATTGTGAATGTGATATGCTTCTGAGGGGTTTTGAATATGTGTGTTTTTTGCCTTTATTTCGTCTCTGTCTCTGAGTTCCACATTCTCGTTTGAGACAAGCATTGTTCCTTTTCCTCATCCTAGGCTTCTACAGGCAGAGAGTATGATGTTGTTTATTTTATCTTATTGTTTTCAGGCAATTACAAGTCCCTGAGCTGTACAGTTGCAGTGTTAAAAATTGGATTTCATTGGCTGAGCAGCAAGAATTTCATTCAAAATCAGTAACTTATTCTTATCTGTAACAACACAGTAATACCTTAAATACTCCAGCCAATCTTCTTGCAAAAAGACAATCTTAATCCATGCATTTCCTGTTTTTTAAAACATTTTTTATGGGTGTTTTTTAACTTTAACCTCCGGGAGTAATACATCCCTTATCCTGTGCCTTTTTCACTTTACGGTACTGGCGGATTGCTCAGGAATTGCAATCCTACAAACACGTGGTAACATGACCAAAGGCCAAACTAAAGCATCTGAGAGATGTGTGCATGTGAGCAAACTTTCATACTCATGTTTTATCTTAGGGCTCATGCGCATTTTCACTTACATACGTCTTCATACACACATGCATGAGCATCTTCGTCATGCAAGAAAAGGCTATGGCTTGTGTGTGATCTGTCAGACTGATTCATGTTGCTCAAGTTAAAACCCTGGGATAAATAAGACGCACACTCACATTAATACGTACTGTAGATGCACATACAGTTAAGTGGCAGAATGAAGTCACGTTAGGCTTTGGACTGGACAGGATCTGTGTGCCCATACAAGCCCATTGTCTAAAAAACTGAGAAACAAAACAAAACAAACACTTCTATGTTAACATTGACTACATGTTAAAAGGGGATGTAGCTGTAGCTTGTCTACCAGTTGATTGAAGCCATTTTGGGTAAAAAGATTAAAATTGCAAACAACAACAACAACACAATGTTCCTGCAGAACAAAAAGACTGATTCAAGAAAGAGATAAATATATCACCCAGGATGTAACATCTATATTTAAACTATATTTTAAACTATATAGCAGAGAGGGAAGGAGGAAAAAGAATGGAACATTTAAAGGAGAGTTGTGATGCAGCAGAGACAGCAGAGGAGTGACTTGACAATTGAAGTGACAGGTTGTTGTCAGAGCTGTGAGACCCTTAAAGATAGATGAAGACAGAGTCCACGGCTCAATGCTAATGTCATCTCAGATGACTAACTGCAGTGGTGTTTGTATCGGTATGTGTGTTTGTGCGAAAAGAGGGTCAGCATTTTTTTTTTAGGGCTGACTAACCCTGAGAGTGATGTGTGAGTATATTTGAGTTTGTCAGTACAAGGTCAGAAACTTCTGTATTACAAGACAGACTAACACAATTTCTGATTGTGTGCATTTCTTATTTTATGTTTGCACTGATTAGACTCAGTACTGCCAGGTCTTCTTATTTACATTTAATATTACTGTCATAGTAACTCTGAGTTGCTTCTTTGACTCTTTACCATGGACACGAATACTGAAAAAATAGATTTAAGAACAATATGACCACCAGGGGATGATTTGAATAGCAAAATTACCATTTTAAACCCCTTCATAAGTTAATGCTGTTCATCTTCACACTTACCCTCATACCAAAATGCAGATGAATTGTAAAATAATTTTGTTTGCCTTTGTACACAATGTTTCTTTGATGACTGAGCCTGATAAAAACAAAAAACAAACCTGAACTATTATCATAAAGTTTTTACTTTTACATAGCAGCCATGAAGTGAACAGTAATGATGTATCAACTGGAAGACTCCAAGAACTAAACCTCAGTGGACAAAAATCAGTGTTTGCAAAGTCAGCATAAGCAGGGACAAGTATCTTCCTGGAAGTGTTGTGCACTGGTAGCACAATCACACATAAACACAATATAACATTGCAATACTGTCCAAGCTAGCCTGATATGCACCAACTCTTCAAAAAAATGTCTGACTTGCTTGTCTTTAGTGAGCTGTTTTTACTGAAATTAGCTACCTTGAACTTGTAATTAAAAGTTGCCTTAAAAATATCAAGTGATAAAACATCTCAAAAAGCTGTTTGGAGTCAAGAGGCACTGAAGTACTCTGACGCAAGTTGCTAATTATGAGAGACCTTTCACATCACCATGTAATTTGATGAATTGCTCATACTAAAGTGTAAACAGAGCTGTTTTAGTCAGTAGTCCCAACACAGCTGTGTTTACTTGCAGAATTAGTCAGAATTTGTATTTGTAATACTAGTCTGGGTGATTGCTCTAAAATGTGGGACAATCTTTTAATCCTTTTCTCTGTCTACCTACAGGTTTTGGAAGCCCCTTCACACACTCAGTAGAACTCAGAAGAATCAAGTGAAGGATCAGCTGTGGATATGACTCCTGCAGCTATGTTAAAGCCTCCTTCTCCTCGTACCGCTCTCAACCCATCCAGTTTTTCCACCGTCTCAGTGCGCCTTTTCCTCCTTGGCTTCATTATACTGCTTTCATGCCCTGCGTCCGTCCATGCAAGCTCTCCAAAGGAAAACTGTTCAGCTAGTGGGGACCCATGTCAGGAAGGTTGGTTGATGTTATCTTTGTGAAAACTGAATTTCAGTGCAAAGCATGTAGCGATTAACATGATAACACACAATGAACATCTTTCAGGGAAAGTCCTAAGTAGGTGAATGCGTTAAGCTTTGTTTTAATTTTGTTTTAATTCTGGTTGGTTGTCTCTGCACCAGCAAAGTAAGCAAGAGAAACCACGCACATACATAACAGCAGAGCATTCTTTAAAAAAAAAAGTTAAATTGTTTTGACAAAATTCATGATCCAATTACCATAATCATAAAAACACATAAAGATTAAACACCTATTTATTTTAAATAAAACTAATTCATGTGATGAGTAAAAACATAGTCCTGCAACAATATTTTGTCTAGATATCTGTTATTGTTGTCATGGAAAGATCTTCAGTATATTTGCAGCAGTATTGCCACATTTTTTTTCTTATGCAAAACATGACACCTCTCTTGACACCATATGAGAGAAAACCTTTTCAAAAAATTATATTATAAAAATAATTGTTGTAGATCGGTTCTCATAAAATCAGGCCCAGAGTTGTAATACATATTTAATTAAAAAAGCTGGGAGCATCGTGTGTGTTGGGACATTGCTGTTAACATTCTCCCAAAACTGCAACTGCTGACTTGCAAAGAATTCAGAACTTTTTTCTTTCATTTTAATACTTATATCTGAAGGGAAAAAACATAAAGGCATTGACTGAGGCATACAATATAGATTACAAAATTTGTAGTCTCTCCAGGTACTAATTCATAATGAATAGGGTCAAGTGGAATAGCATTACACTCGAATACAAAGAAGGAATAGTTGCTAATGAACACTGAATATGATTCATTATTACAGGTTTTTACCACTTCAGGAAGTTTTAAGGACAAATAAAGCTATACTTGAGAAAACACTCCTTACACAGTACTTGAACAGTTTAAGATGTTTACAGTGGGAATCTGTAATGAATTTTGAGGCAGGATTCAGTCAGTTGTGTGGACAAAGTAATATCATCCAAATACAGCTGTTGTGATCTTTTTCTTTCTGTCTTTGTCTCTGAATTTCAGGAGTTGTCCTACCCATATGGAACCCTCAGAATCCCTCTGTGGGGGATAAAGTAGCACGGGCTATTGTTTACTTTGTGGCTATGATATACATGTTTCTGGGCATGAGCATTATTGCGGACCGGTTCATGTCTTCCATCGAGGTACGTTAACCTGTAAACACTTTACTTGAGATGTTGCTGTGCAGTTTTTCCTCCAAATTTTTTTCATTTTTAGTCAGTCCATGAATTCATTTTTTTTTACTTGTAGCCACATAGAATACTATTTATTTCACTCATACTTATCAGCTCTGAGTCATCTATGTAAAAGACTTACTGTGGTTATCTGTTCTCTCCTCTGCAGGTCATAACTTCCCAGGAGAAGGAGATCACCATAAAGAAGCCAAATGGGGAGACCACCACGGCCACGGTCAGAATCTGGAATGAAACCGTTTCTAATCTCACACTGATGGCCTTGGGCTCCAGTGCCCCTGAGATATTGCTGTCAGTTATTGAGGTTGGTACAATAATAAGAGCCAGTAGGCAGAACAATAGATTTACCAGTGTACGATGCAACTGGGACCTGATCTAGATTTTACCCCCACCTACAGGTGTGTGGTCACGGCTTTGAGGCCGGTGCCCTGGGTCCCAGCACCATCGTGGGTAGCGCTGCCTTCAACATGTTCATCATCATCGCTCTGTGTGTGTATGTCGTTCCCGATGGAGAGACGCGCAAAATCAAACACCTTCGGGTGTTTTTTGTCACGGCAGCCTGGAGCATCTTTGCCTACATCTGGCTCTATCTGATTCTGAGTGTGATTTCCCCTGGAGAGGTGGAGGTAAGGACGTGAATGAGTAAAAGCTTAAAAGAGAAGTCAGTGAGGAGATGAAAAGAAAGTTAGGAATGGAGGGGTAAACTTCAAGCCCGCCTTCTGTCCCACCCAGGTGTGGGAGGCCGTGCTGACCTTCCTCTGCTTCCCCCTCTGCGTGGTCCAAGCCTGGGTGGCTGACCGGCGTCTTCTGTTCTATAAGTATGTCCGCAAACGTTACCGTGCCGACAAGCATCGGGGCATCATCATTGAGACAGAAGGAGGAAACGATGGAGGCATGGATGGGGGAGGAGCGCTGGGTCCAGGGGGCTTCACCAAGATGGACATGCTCGAGCTCGATGGACAGTTGGCACTGAACTGCCACAGTGGGATGGATGGAGGGTTGATGGAGGATGGAGGGTCAAAGGATGAGGAAGATGAAGCCAGGAGGGACATGGCAAGAACTCTGAAGGAGCTGAAGCAGAGGCACCCAGACAAAGATATGGAGCAGCTGATCGAAATGGCTAATTATCAGGTTGGCAGCACACAGTCAGCACATTTGTCTCAGTTCTGCAAAAGCATACAGTGCGAAAAGCTGTAAGAAGTTTTTTGGTCTCCACTTATCTGTTCTACTTAAACTTTTGGCCCTGGGAAGCAGTAGGAAACAGCGTGCTAATGAGATGGAGATGACACTGTAACACATTCTGGTGTAAATAATGTGTGTTAGATGACAGCGGAGACAGCAGTTGTTAGAGACAGAAGTGCAAGACAGGTAACAAAAAAATGGTACAACACAACTTCTCCTGCAAACGTCCAACTTCCTAAACCAACAGAAACAAACTCTTTTCAAATATAGTTTCTGAAATGTTTTTGGACAATTCCCTGAGACCAAGTGTTTGTACCGTCCAAGAAGAATTGTCTTAATGTGTGCATGGATGGGTGAAGGTAGTTTGTAATAGAAAGTTCTTGGATCGTCAATTGCTCAAGAAGTCCATTCCATCTAAATTTATATTGATTCATAACATATCTATCTTTTGTAGAATGAAATGGCTCAGGGAAAACACAGCAAAAGCTAACTATAACTGATTTCTAGCATGAAAGCTGCAGCAGATTTTTTTAGAATTCTGCAGCAAAAGTGCTGTCTCATTTCCCCTATATTCAAATAAATTACATTGTTCCCGGCCAAAAGGCGGCATTTAATCTCAAATGCTACAGTTTCCACTTTGTTCATTTTCAATTTTGTGGATCATTAAGATTATTATTCATCCATAACACTTTACTGAAGTCATTACTTAAAAATTGATAAGCCTTTTTGAGATCTAAACCTTGCACTCAAGAACTGGACACTAAAATTAAGTTTCCTACACAGAAGTGCTGTGATCTCTTCAGCTTATACAATTCAGTTCAAAAGAATAATTCCATAAATGTGAGACTTATACAGATAGGCCACATCAAATTCATAACATTAACCAATTTATCAATTGATTGGTTTTGTTATTTAGGTTCTGATGCAGCAGCAAAAGAGCAGAGCATTCTATCGTATCCAAGCAACCAGGATGATGATCGGTGCTGGCAATATCCTCAAGAAGCATGCTGCTGACCAGGCCCGCAAGGTCACACACGCACACACACACACACACACACACACACACATACTCACAATAGTCTTGCTGTCACTGTTTAACTTTTAAAGCTATTAGATCCCATTTCACCTGACTGCCTGTGGCATTTTCTCAGGTGGTGAGCAGCAACGAGACCCAGGCTCAGGAGGACGACCCCTACACCATCAGGATGGGGTTTGAGCCGTCATTGTACCAGTGCTTTGAAAACTGTGGCTCCCTAAAACTGACCGTTGCCAGGCATGGAGGAGACCCTGGAATGACTGTCAAGGTGTGTTGGGGTAGAAAGAAAGACACACGGCAGATAAGGGGAAAAGCTGTTAATGCGAGAGCCTGAAAAACATTGGCAAATAAAAGCAGAGACCAAAGAAGACAATGTTTCACATTTCTAACCCGTTTGTCTTGATCTGATCTGATGTGATCTCATAACATGTTTTCCCCTCCAGAGGTTTTCAGCATTTCAAACTCGATGCTGGTGTGAGGGAGAGAAGGGAAACGGGGGGAATGGCAGGCAGGATACACAAAAAAGAACAACTTTTCCCTTTTATTTTCAGTTTTCACTTTAGCTTGTAACCTAAAAAGAGAAAAACATGCTTTTGTCTTTTTGCTAAATATAATTGATTTTTATTGATGAATCTATTTTACCCACATTTTATTCTAAAAGAACATATGGAAGCATGGAAATACCATGAAAAAATATTAGGCTATCTTTAGTTTGATGCCTGCTACACAAGGATATGAAAAACAAAAGGCCAAAGGTATGTTAGATGGCTGATCGAGAGCCCTCTGTTTAAGCTGTTAAATCAGATTAAATTATAAATTCTCACGTTTTCATGTAACAGTCATTAAGATCCAGCGCATCAAATGTCTGAAGACTGTGAGCCTTTGCCGAGCCTCCAGTCAATCCCTGTAAAATTAACCAGTTAAAAGAGTGATGAATCCAACTGAATCCAACACCTTTTCTGCTGGGAGATGCACATTCATGAATTGCTAAAACTTTATCAGCCCTAAGGGACTGATAACAATGACAACTATGAAACCCTAACTAAAGTTTTTTTGTGTTGGCTTCAAAGTCATTATTATAAAACTGTATCAGACCAGAGGGCTTGATTTAATGAGACTGTTTTCCTCGCTCTGTTTCATCCTTTGTCCGCATATTCCTACATGTCTCTTTTTGACACGCTCGCCCTCCCTCTTTCTTTTTTGGTTGACCTTTCCTTTTGTTTTGTGTTCTCATCTGCAATTTCCATAACTAACCTCTACCATCTTCTGTATCCACCCCACTCATCTCACTCCCCCGCCTGTGTCTCTGTGTTTCCTTGTGCCGCAGGTGGATTATCGCACTGAGGACGGTACGGCTAACGCAGGCTCCGATTATGAGTTTGCAGAAGGAACACTGTTGTTCAAGCCAGGGGAGACACTTAAAGGTAAAAACAACAGTGACTTCTCTAACTTTTATTCCATGATTTCAAAACTATGCCACTGCTTAAATAGCAGAGGTCATGAATGGTGCTGCAGGTTAACTGCATTAACAGTTTATTGCTTTTGTGTTGTGTAAGGGCAAGCTGTCTGTACAGTTTCTCAGTACAATAAAGTTTTCTTTCTCCAGAGATCACAGTGGGTGTGATTGATGATGACATTTTCGAGGAAGATGAGTACTTCTACGTTCACCTTAGTAACCCTCGCCTGGTTGGCTATCCTGAGATTGGCGCCGCCCCCCTGGATGCAAGCGTGGCCCCCAAAGCCGTGCTTGGTGACAACCACACGGCCACGGTGACCATCTATGATGATGACCATGCAGGTACACAATGTGCCAGTGACCACACAGATTCCTCCTCACTGTCACTTTTGAAATATACATTTTTATGTTGCCCTTTCTTGAGAGGTTTTCGTGTGTTTGCACATAAAATAAAAGTCATAAAACCATATATTTGCACCAAATGAATGTCTCACACTGTGGACAAGGCTGCTGTCTGTACTTGATGCTTTTCTTTTGACTTACCTTCATCTTCTCAATGTCAGGCAGCCTAAATTAATTTTTTGGCATGCATCAAAGAAATAATTAGCTACTGTCTTGTACGGAACCAAAAGAAGACACACAGAGGATAAAACAGTTTGACAGATTGTTTAATATGGCGTGCCCTCTCCTTTTGTAAACTTATTCAGTACAGATACTAAAGCTTGCATGGCCCTCCAAATGTTCACATAAGGCATTCCGGGTATCTTATAGAAGGTTTCGAAGCTGGGGATCCTACTTTACAGTAATCCACACGTGCAAATATTTTCCAGTCCAGTGAGGGAATGCAGCTAAGCAGATGAGGCTCTCACATAACATGCAACGGGCAGAGCAGAGGAGATCATGTACAAGCGAATCATCTAAGTTTGTTGCCTTGTTGGACAAAGAGACTTAGATTCCCAGTTTGCCTGCCCTGTTTTCCATGCAAAAGCATCTGGGTACTAGGTAGCAAATGTCACATATTTCTTTAACATGTACAGTGCTTGGCACGCCTGGATTAACGGATTGATTCCCTAGTTTGGTGTCTCTTAGAAGCCTACATAATATTGTCATGTGGGTTAACGAAGGCTCTTCTGAAAATGGAGAAAAGACAGGAAATGTTCAATGTGGTAAAAGCAGTCCATTTTCCCAGAAAAGCTTTTAAGCTTCTCCAGAAACGATTCCTGAAGACCACTTTAACAGTTTTACAAGAATGTGTCCTTAGAAGCGATATATAACAATCAACCAGTAGCGAGTGGTTGGTAATTGATTATAAATGAACGTCAGAAATGTATTGGTTTGTTAACCCATATATTCCCAGATCATCCATGTTTATTTCATGTAAGACAAAAGTTCAAGTCCCACCAGTGTCATCATCTCTATATAGTAAGTGTAGAGTGGGTGTAAACATAGTGTTGATTGTCTTTTATTTAATGACAGTGGGAGGAAAGGATTTGTTTATGTATATACATGTTATACACCTTGGAGAGCAAAAACCCTCCCTATCTTTTTCAGGCATCTTCACCTTTGAGGGTGCCAGTCAGAGGGTGAGTGAAAGCGTTGGTGTGATGGAAGTGAAGGTGCTCAGGACATCGGGAGCTCGGGGCTTGGTGGCCGTTCCCTATCGAACTTTAGATGGCTCCGCTAAAGGAGGAGAGGACTATGAACTGGCTGCTGGCAAGCTGGAGTTTCAGAATGACGAGACAATGTGAGTACAACGTCATAAAACCTGCTGTTTTGTTCACACGTGGCAAAGTGATGTTTTCTGATTCATTACTGGTTTTAATATTTTTTCTGATAGAAAGTTATACGGTCTGAAAATTCCAAGATAGATAACAATGTCCTAATTTAGCATTTCAGTGAGATCTGCTTTGAACACCTCCACACACAGGGTTCTTCGCATACACACTCGGGATATCTGGTGTCCTTGGACCTATGCATTTTCAAGATGCTGATGTTAGCAGTGTTTAATTGACCAATATATAAAGTGGTTGGGAATGCAGTTTCTTTAGCTCCTCCTGGGGCTCATAAAACAAGCTCTGTGTTTGTGAGTGTGTGGTTTCTGTGTGTAAAAGGACCAGTTCTGCTCTCAGGTATTAGGAGAGGATATTGCAGTTTCTTCTCATCCTGAAGGCTCTGATTAATGATTGAAGTTTCAAAAAGCCACCCAAAATCTGTAGTGGGTTCCTGACAGAAAGACTATGTATCTGCCTGGATGTGTGAGGGCTCTTGTACTCATAGGCTTATGTTTGAACTAGCTAACGTGATGAAAATGGTTCCCATCGACTTTAGCTCTGAGGCGCCTCTAACACAGTTATAGTTTTGTCTTATGAAAGATTTTTTTTTATGTGAAGCATACTTTTTCTGCCCAGTAATTTACTTCTATCATGTCTGCTACATGATTTGATGATTTCATTAGTAAAGCTTAAAAATCACATATCCTTTGCCAAAGCAATTGAAATAACGCCAAAATCTTTATTATGTCTTTCCAACAAGGGTCACCTTCAGGAGTTAGGATATGACACCAGGTTCTTCAATCTTGTTTTGATCTTAATTATTTCTGCCATCCTCCTTCTGGCACATGTGGGCTTGATCTTTCAAATAAGATAGGGCTAATGAACAGAGGGGGAAATGGCTGGTTTGGATCAAATGCTGAGAGAGACAAGCAGAGGGGCTTTGAAGCCCTGAGCTTTTGAAAAGCTCAATGAGAAGAGTGACTGATGAAGAAAGCGCCCGTATCAATAATCTGCTGTTTTCCAAGAGTGTGAGAAAACTGAGTGAGGGCTAGGCCTGATTGAGAACCACTGTGGCTTATTGATCCATCCCTTCCATTGTCTCTTACCACAAAACGTTTTAGAACTGCTTCACAAGTCAGTTCTCTCCCCCCTCTATTTTTCTGTTTTCATACCATATAATATGCTCTACACCATTACCCAGACAAGGCCTCCTCTCAGTCATTCCATTCAGGCACTGAGTTTTTGGTCGAGCCAATCTTTGACTTTGGGATTAAGGTGGTTTACAGCCTCTCTTATTATCAGTATCCCTAGAGCTCAGTGTATGTGTTTATCTTTCTCTTTTAGGTTCTTAGCTCTCACTCCCCAATTATTCATCCATGAATTCCCTCTTCCCTGTTTTAATCTTTTCTCACTGCTGCCCCTCAATGTGTGTTTTTTCTCTCTCTTTTCATCATTGTGCTTTTGAACCTCTTGTCACTTCTCCTCTTATGTGAACTGGCTTTAATCATCTGCCCCTCCATCTATCTGTTATCCTCTTCTCTGTCTTTGCCTTAATACGTTTATCCTATTCATCAGCTTTTACTTTGCCTTTTCTTTCTTTTTATATTAATAGACCTCCTTGCAAGTTTTCTAACTCCCCTCCCCACAGTCCTTTCTTTTTACCTTCACTGTCCTGCCATCTCCTGCGTCCACTTTATTTGCATCTTCCTCCCCTGTGATTTTCACCTTTACTGTATTACGCTGTCATTTTTCTCCTCTCATCTAACCTTCTGCAGCATCACATACAAAGCACTCTTTTTCCACCTCCACTTTTATCCAGTCATTTCCAAGGCCATTTTTCCAAATCTTATCATAAACCCACCTCAGCATCGCTACCTTACCTCCTTTTGTTTACCCCTTTTGTCTTTTCGTTGAACCAAAGCACCCAGCATGAATCTGTCAACAGTTCCTGGTCATTCTATTTGATGGAGTAAAGCTCTACTACAATCTTGTCTGGTGGTAAACGGTGAAGAAGCTTTAAATGATATTCAAGCTGAACTGACAAAAGAAAGGAAAGGAAAATAGCTTTACAGGATCTAATTGCAGAATATTACACGATGTAACATCAGTCACTCAATGAAACTGTCACCCCCTCTAGTGCATGTTAGATGTTAGGTCTCATGATGATGATGATGATGATGATGAGGTGGCAACTTCCTAATTTATGTGGTTATGGGGGGCAGTTATTTTGTAGTAAATGTCAGTATATTTCCATATCATAACATCTCAAGCTATGAAATCTGCATATCTTTGAAAACAGAAAGGTCCTTAATGATGGCACGCAATGCTGAAGTACAGTTACTATATGACATGTTTATTATCAGCACCATATGTTCAACTAGATAAATGCATATGGTTATATACTAATTATTCAGCATCACTCACACATACACACACTTGTATAAAACAGTGTTTTTCTGTATTTATCCACTATCTAGTCCCGTTATATAAAGGAGGAATTAATTAACTCTCTCTTTGTTCAGCCAATTAGTGTGTCTTTTATCTATCCCACTCTTGCTCCCCAGTGGAGCCTATGAGTTCCTCAGTTTTCTGCCCTGCCTTCTCTGCCCCTTTATTGGTCTTTTGTTTTAATCAGAGAGTGTTAGTGTGTGTGCAGTAGTGAGAGACGAGGTGGACTGCGTTTGCGTGCGACAGAAAGAGATACTCTCAGTAGGGGCAGTTTATTCTTAGCCTTCCTGTGACCTGCAATGTTGCTCAGAGTCTCAGCCAAGAACCGGACCACAGCGTGAGGGTGTGTATGTTACTGTGTGTGTGTGTGTGGTCCTCTCCCTTGGCTGCTCATTAGAAATTTGAAACAGGTGTTGTCAACGTCTGCTTAGTTTCTGTCAAGTCCTGGTTGTGTAAATGTGTATTTATACATGCATAGTATAAGAACTTAGCAGAACTTAAGAACACTTGTTGTTGGACATGTATTACTTTTAGCACAAGTTCTTTCCTCACCCATATTTTTTGGTCTCATCGATGCTAACACCTTTGAGGGAGTCCAGACAAATTGCCAGTTTGCAATATTCACATTTAGCTTTTGTAATTTAATTTGTAATATAGCTTTTTGTAATTTCACTAAACTGCTATCTTGTTTAGTTTGTTAAAGAAACCACAATCCCACTTCTAATTGCTTTTGACAAAGCTGTCCAACGAGCTGTGATCATACATTTGCTGCTGGCGATGAAGAAATCAGCTGGCATTTCTTAAACAGTAGATTCTCCCTTTAGCAATATCTTTCAGGGAATCAAAGTAAAACAGGAAAGTGTGAATGTAAATGTGCGTGTGTTTGTCTGCAGTAAGATGTGTGTCTGTGCCTGTTGCAGCTCTTGTAATGTGTTTGATATTTACAACCTGCTTCTCCGTCTGTTACCAACGCAGGGTGACTAACCCGAAGCTGTTCCAAAAATAAAGCTTCCTTTGAACTCAAAATCCCCAAAGAGCTTCACACAGTGTGTGTCGTGGAGTGTGTTCCTGTCTGCGTTCATGCCTTCAGTTTGATGCTGTTGCTTATGTATGTGTATTAGTCAGCAGTTAACTATATTTGCATAGTCATTTTTGTTGCTCATCTAGCTTGTGTCTCACAATCTCTTCCTCTTACACCACAAAATAAACTTGCACAATAGAAATGTTATGAAATAAAACGTTTCAGCACGTTCAGCACCCTCCCAACATTTTGCATCACTGTATATTCAACCCTTCTTGTTTTTAGCACTGTTTCACGTACTTCTTTTAAACCCAATTTTCAATCAAATTTAGGATGTGCTGCCTTTACCGAATTTGACCGGTTTAAGGGAGAAAAGCTCTATGCTAAATGCACAACCAACCAAATTTATATTAGCAAAACCAAAAACATTTCTACAAACGTATTTTTTCATTCATTTTTGGCAGTTTGCTCAGTAATTTGTTTGACGTTTACCTGTAAACAATGTAGCACATTGACTCAGTTGCTCAGTATGTCGGGCTCTGCTGCTGGGTATGTCTATGCAGCTTCCCAATGTGTTGCTTTATGCTATTTGTATGTGTGTTATGATGCTAAATATAACCGAGCAAACATTTATATACACTATGGTTTCTCTATTAAAAGGAAAACGACATTTTATGCAAATGCATTTTCATATGAATAAAAAACATTCAGAGAAAATTTCTTAAACACATAAACATACATAATTTAAGATCAGTTTTGTTCTATTTCATTCAAGTTGAACAACATAACCACAAATAAAAGATTGCTATGATGTTGAAACTGACGAAAACTGACGGATTCTCAATTTAATCTCCATAATGTGCATGCCATCATCCCCTCTTTTGAACATTTTCAGTATTTAATAGGCTACCGCATTATTTATTCTTAAATTGATGGTATATTGCACTTTTAAACTGTTATAGAAGCTTTTCCAACAGTGATTGTGGCAAATAAAGAAATGCATGCCTCCATGCACCCTACCCTTAATTTCTCACTCAATCAGTCTCCATCTCTTCTGTCTGCTGAGGAACGTTAAGTTTTGTCCTTTTTTATCAGGATGAGTTTTTTCTTTTCTTTTCAACTCCCTGTTTGTTGCCGTAGCAACTTTTGATTCCTCCCGTTGTAAGTACAACAAAGAGGAGACAGCATAAAGAGATGAAAAATGGAGAGAAAGATGCTGAATAAAAGGGAGAGTGAAGTAGTTTTCCGACTTGTGGTTCTTAGAATGAGTTTTTTTTTTACTGTGTGTGCACTGAAATCATGTAATTGCATTCCTCTTTGTTTCCCTTTTCTCCTTTCACATGTCTTATTTAATTCCTCAAGCATTATTATTTTAGTCGAAAATATCAACCACAGAAACTGTGTCAATCATCATCCGAGCTTTGATTAACACATAACAAAACATTGAATCATGACGCAAATCTTACTTTGAAGCTGTTGTAGTGTGCCTGGCAAAAAAAAG